GATTTCGGATAGTTAATGTGAACCACAAATGTTGATATTTTGTACTAGGTAAGTAAAATTTATTATCATTGTCGCCAATCTAACTATCTCGATCCATCCCTCTAACTCTTATCTATAATAATATCTGAAGTTAATTACTGATTTTTGCATTTCACTAATTCATTATGTAAGCAGACCTAATATTGGACAGACCACAGTGAACCAATGTGCCCCACGGTTACCCTCAAACGTTTTAAATAATAAACCTGTAAGATGTAACTTTTCTCAACACTTTACCATTGGGTAAGATGGATTACTAGGTTACTCACCATCAGCCCAACCCCAACTAGCAGGTGCTTGTCTTAACCGTCCACTCAGTCAAGTTCAACAAATTAATCCACTTTATCAAAATAATGATTTTTTGGCCTTCAGAAATCCCTGGTCTCACTAGCACTACAGTATGTTCAAACGATAGCTCATACGATCAGTCAAACATAATAAACCACAGTCTATGTAAATCCAAAATACACAACGTCAATATGGAAGCTCTCTGTTTTTTTACACTCCATACTCCCTTTTTAAACTTAATACTTATCAATGCATGTTCACTTTTGAACAAAATTTCAGCCTTGAGAGCATTATCTTTTCTACCCAAGCCTTCTTTCATACTTATCACTGAAACATGGTGCTCTCAAGTAGTAACTGATTCAGCATTAAATATCCAGAACTATCGACCCTATCGCTGCGACAGAGAAACTAAGCGAGGAGGTGGCTGTATTATATATGCATTGGATACCCTAACAACTAATAAAGTTGAAGATAGTGTCCTGAATAGTATACCAGAATCGGTCTGGATATCAGTCAACACCCTGAATCATAGTCTACCACTTGGATGTATATACAGAGCTCATGATAATTCGAATAATGGGAATGATCTTATTATCAATGCATTTATAAATGCATCTTCTCTAAACTTTAATGCTAAGGCTATCACTAGGGATTTCAGCTATCCTGGGATTAACTGCCGTACCGGTAGTTGTCAGTCATGTGATGATGAGTTCTCGGCAGCCATTAACATGCACTGCTGGTCACAGTGGGTTCGTACCCCAACTAGAGGCGATAGTATACTCGATCTAACATTTAGTAGAGATGCTATCCCACTATCTGTAAAAGTATACTATGAATTTGAAATCAGTGACCATAAGATAGTAGTTTGCGCTCTCCTTATCTATCCCTCTTATAACCGACCCATTCAAAACACCTGTCAATATAGTGACTATAAGCATTCTGACTGGGACCTCCTGCATTCATTGATTAAACTTTCAGACTGGGATAACTTTTTTTCATGTAATAGTCTCATGGATGCTATCGACGAATTCTATCTGATAGTTAACTCTTGTTTAGATTCCTGTGAACCTCTTAAAACGTACAGGTTTAGTAAACCTTACGAATTATATATACCAGCTAAATATCATAATAAACTAAGACGCCTACAGAATCGTTATTTTAAGTCAAACGACTTCACGGCAGTTGCACAAATAACAATAATTTTTAATCAAATTAAAGAGAAATATAGGTTAAAAGCCATAAATAAGGAGATACTAGCACTTAATACTAACTCAAAGGTACAAAACTTAGCTCTCCTTTCCAATAAACGCACTAAAGCAACTCAAAATGTTGATATACCATGCATCCAGCATAATAGCACTTTTATATATGACTCTAAAACTATAGCAGACCTTTTCAGTGGTATTTTTGAGAATGGTGTAGGAATCATAAGTTGCTCTGCTTCAATAGTTATGTGCGTGACTAGCAACTCAATAGAATCTATCCCCTTCACATGCATGAAAATTAACAAGGCTATAAATACCCTTAAGCTTTCGAGGGGTCATGGAGCACACGGGATTTCATCCTTTCTCTACAAATATGGTGGTCCAGATATTCCACTTCTTCTTCTTAAGCTGTTTACTCTATTACTATTGGAAAACCGCGTACATCATACCACATTACAAATCTGGATATAAGACTGGCATGAACAATTATCGGCCGATAAATATTACTCCAGTTATCTCTAGGATTATACAAAAAAATTATAAGTGATGAACTTTCCAATTATTTTCTCGCTGGATAATTTATCAACATGGGTTTCTTAAAATTCGATCTTGCATGACATGTCATTTTGACTTCTTTAATTTAGTCTATTCTCTACGTAGCCAAGGATATCTAGTCTTAGTGCTATATCTGGACATGATTAACCACCAACTTCTTATAGGTAAACTCGCATCTTATGGGGTTCAAAATCCTTCGCTAGCTTAGTTTGATTCCTTTCTCAGCAATCGACATCAGATAGTTAAAATTAACTCTTCATTGTCTAACGCTGTCCCTGTTAGAAGTGGTGTAACACAAGGTAGTGTCTTAGGCCCGTTGCTCTTTTTAGTATTTATCAATGATATTTGTGAAAGTTTTTGTGTGGGTAAGCCCCTTCTATATGCAGATGATCTTCAAGTAGTATATTCGTTTTCTCCACATGAGCTGAAAAATATGCAAAATTGCCTCAGCATGAAGTTTAACAAGGTATCACAGTGGTGCTTAAAATGGCAACTGCAGCTTAATACGGCTAAATGTGGATGGGTGTGCTTCGGCGATACATCACTCAACCTAGACATTACCATAAATGGAGAAGTGTTATCTAGGTTACATCCAGTAGTAGACTCAGGTACTCCCAAGACTTGTCATTTACAAAACATATATTGAAACAGACCTCTAAGTCTCAACGTCTAGTAGGTTACATAACTCGAAACCTTTATAACAGTGAGTCGCGCATTTTGATGTACAAAGTTTGTGTTCTTATCAGTGCGCGCATAATGGATAAATTAAGGCTGGAATCAGTACAGAGACGATTTACACTTCGTATTCTTAGAGCCGATTGCACCTTAACTTATAATTCTAGATGTAATAAACTTGGGCTAGACCCTTTATGGAAGAGGAGACTCAAACTAAATCTTATCTTTTTCTTCAAACTACTTAATAAACTACCCTTTACATCCAATCACGTGATTCAATATGCAGAAACTTCTCGTTATGACATCTGTAATTCCTTGTCACTAATGGAACAAAATTATTCTAAATCATCTCTTTATATGACTTACTTTACCTGTAAATTCTTTAGACTCTGGAATAACCTACCAAAATCTATTCGCACGATAAAATCACTCCCATTATTTGTTCGCTGCACAGATGCATACTACTCCTCTGAAAATGCATTGAATGTTCTAGCACTTGTAAGTGCATCTCATTCCACAAGTGATATTATAGGAACTTTAAATGTTTAGCCACCTTAATTAGTGCATTCCCTAAGTAAAACTGTTATACCCGAGCGAAGATTAAATCACGAGTAACTTCTGAGACATATTAGTTGACTAATATTATCTATATATTCTTATGGTATAACCATTCAATAATTAGATTATCTATATTTATATTCCTCTTATTATAAGCTTTATTTTTACCTATAAATTATTACTATACGACTTACTGTTCTTAAGCTATGTTCAGTTTATTGACCACTGCCTCCCACGTTCAGTTACTTTTTGGCTTTATTGTGTACAAATGTTATTTCCTGTTTTATAGTGTGTTGCGGTCTTTTGGTTGATATATAAACTCAGTATGTCTGAAATTAATGATTCGATTCGACTCGCATATTAGAAGCTGGTATTGGTTTTCTGGACTCAAGTGGACGGGCTAGGCGGACATAGGACCAATAAGGACGCTAGACTGCCCATACCGGTTGAACGTTATTGGTTTGGCACAGTGCTACGATCGTATAAGTCGTATTTTGATTAGTGGATAAATCACGTGGTAAAAGCCGGACATAAAGTCATAACAAAAACCACCTACTTTATGTTAACACCGTCCCCAGCAAGTTTAACTAATTTGAATAACATCAACAGTATATCACTGTGTCACATCACACACTCATTTTGGTAGACCTGATTCATATATTTTGGTAATTACTGCTTTGTTGTTCCGTGCTCTGTGTTTTCATTTTAATTTCTCTAGTTGTAGATAATTATCATTATTTCGATCTGGCACACGAAATGATCTTAATTACTCCGTTCATAAATCACCAGGCTGTCCATTTAAGAAATATTAAAAATTACCGGCTGATGCATTGAATCACTGTAATACATGTACTACATGAAGAATTACTGAACTAGTATACTTAAAACTTTCTTCTATCACATGTTTGTTCTGTACATCTAATGTTACTATTTATATCAAATTGATCCATGTCTGTAAACTGGCAAGAATACTGTAATTATTATTTTCAGAATATAAATAAATTAAATTATTATTATAATCGTAAATCTCTTTGTAATGTAAACATACATTTGACAAAATGTGTTCACACTTCGATCTGTGAAATTTTCATAAATTAAGACAGTTTTCTAATAAGTCATAATGAAACATGTGATTTTACTGTTTAGACCAATTCTCGAGTAGATAATTTGCAGTACTCATGTTCTCAGTATATATATATATATATATATATATATATATATATATATATATATATATATATATATATATATATATATATGAGAGGCAAAATAAACCAACCACATGAAGTAGGCCTTTCCGACATAACAATTAGAAACGGTTAGTCATAACAAATTTACAACGAGATATAACAATTAACGATGGGAATTTTGGAATAAGAAAACTATAAAAATCACTTACAGAGTTATTTTACAAGTTTCAGTTTCCATTTATAACCTAGTCGATGATTCATTAGTTTCTCATGTAGTCCTTCATAAATTCGAGAGGAATATTTCATACCAATTAAATTCTGGCGATATCATAACAAACGTTGCTTGTTCTCACAGTACATTCGTATCTTGTGAAAACCTTAGTCAGTATGTTGCATAAATTTTTAATGGGTTCAGATCTAATTATAATTCTGATGGCACTATATTAAATGTTATTTATCCTCACATTCCATTTACCTGTATTCAGTCTGAGAAAAATGTTTGAAAGGAATCACAATCTGATTACAGGTCAGATGTCATTGTAGCAGATTTAGGGTGCTCTCATACCTCATATATGTTATATATAATCGCCCCTCAATCCAATGATAAATCAACTAATATAACAAGTGTTAGCGAAGCAGTCACGAAGCCAAAATATCCAGAAGTGACAAAAGGAACATTCAACCTCTGCATATACCCACACGCCCCATTATGCAAATATAATGAAGGTGCTAGTAGTGATAAAACTGTTGAGATCAATAAAGCCACATTATTTGTAACGTCACTATATCAAGATCCAACAATGTTTCGTGGAGGAGAGGAAATCGTATGTGCATTGAACAAAACAGCAGAGCACAGAAGGCTAAATAGATTTTCTACGAATGAAACTAAAAACAAACCAACTGGAAGCTTGAAATCGACCACGTGACCGTCCGAGATCCCAGAGAGTAAGAAAACGTATAGTAACCTTTTCAAATAGATTCTCTACAGAAATTTTATCCTTACGTATTCCATTAGAGAAGAAGAGGAGGTGATACGATGGGTTGAAAAGTCAAAATTAGATTCTTTTATTTATTATGATTTTTGTTCAACATTACTTCCGTTTTAATCTAATGTGTAGTATTTGTTTTGTTTTCCCGTATGATATTTTATTCGGTATAACGTACGATATTTTTGTATTAAATAACATAAACTATACTGAGTATTACACACAGCACATGATTTGTTATAACTCTAAGTATTTTCATAAATGTGATTTCATCCTAATTAGTAATCAAATGGGTTTACAACCAATGTATAAACGAGTGTATTTTCGAATAGGGTCGTCGTCGTGTTTTGGGTTTCATGAGCCTTCACCTTTACCAGTCTTCGTGTTCTTAATTCGCATCGTGGAAATTGCACTGGTTTTTCGTTTACAAGTATAAATAATAAGCGATTCCGACATAAAAATCACAGACAACTAGTCACAACAAAGTGACGATGAGATACAGCAGTAATAGATTATTGAATTCCGTTTTAAGTAAATTTAGGAGCACTATATACTATTTGCACTGTTTTACAATGACCATTAATACATGTTTTCTGAGTATTTACATCAAAATTAGCTTGCTGATTACTTTGTCTTCAAGTAATTAGATGCAATGACTAGATAACAGGAAGAGGTTTCAGTAACCTAATCAATCCAATAGTTTATTGTATTGTTGTAGAACACACCGAATTATTGATATTCATTTTAAACGAAAATTTTTTTTGAAAGTTACACTAAAAATACACCAATTAAACTGATCATAGAGTCATGCAAACATCGAGCAATCAGCCCCTGAATCTCTTTTTAAGACATAGCTGAACATGGCTATCGTACGTGATTTATGACATTAATGTAACTAACAACTTTTTATCGGTAAACCACAGGTTCATGAATCGGTATGAAAAAAAACTTAAATTTACTAGGTTATGTGTAGTTTGTGGTATTTTTCTAATAAACTAAATAAGCACATTGTGTCTTAGCCTCATGCATTACATTTAGCGTTGAAATTTCCAAAAACAAAATATTGAACGCCATAAAAGGTCTAATATGAATAATGGATTTCATCAATCTCATGGAAAAACCCATCAGTAGTCAATCAAATAATTCTATAAACAATTCTTGTTGTGTTTTGAATCAAGTTATTGAGCAAAAATAGAATGGTGATGTAGCTTACATCGACTAATGAATTTAAATATGAAAATAGAAAAGATAGCATGAAAATTGTTTTTTTTTTCACTGCTGTTACATTCAGAGTCATTTCAGTACATTTCATCCACCAAAATTACATACCATTGTTTCTGAGTTAAACAAACAATCATATTAAATATATACTCTTTTAAATCAATGAAAATAATCCATTAGTCATTTGTGTTTAGCACAGTTCTTCAAATTATCAAATATCCAATAGCAGCCAACTTCATCAATGAAGAGTAAACCACAAATGTTGACATTTTGTACTAGTTAAATAAAATTTATTATCATTGTCGCCAATCTAACTATCTCTATCCATCCCTCTAACTTCTATCTATAATAATATCTGAAGTTAATTATTGATTTTCGCATTTCACTAATTCATTTTAATCATAAATCTCTTTGTAATGTAAACATACATTTGACACAATCTGTTCACACTTCGATCTGTGAAATTTTCATAAATTAAAATAGTTTTCTAATGAGCCATAATCGAACATGTGATTTTACTGTTGAATCTAATTTCCGAGTTGATAATTTCCAGTACTGATTTGCTTAGTATACCAGTAATGACGACAGAAAAATAAAAATATTTTGATCACATTGATTGTCAATTATATGTCAAATCATATTTTATTAAGTAGCACACTTGTGGTTTTAGTGGTGTTTCTTGAATATATTGTATTTCAAACAAATCATAGAACCTTACTTGTTTGACGCTTAATTTTGACCTACATCATGCAGAACTGAGATGACGATAGTGTCAATATCTTTGTTAATAGAATGATAATGTGTCGTTTTGATAGAATGTTTTCTGCAATAAGCTTTGGGTAATTTGAATATCAAATTTTAATAAATATTTCGTTTAAGCTTTCTATTACGGTTAGATTTTAAATTTCCTTATCAGGTTTAGCCAATCAACTGCTGTGCTTCATTGATATTTTATCATTTTTTAAATGTATACAAATGTTGGACGTTCAGAATGTTTCTAGCAATTAATTCTTTGAAGTGATGTACTGACCTAATGATCATTGAAATTCATAGTAATTTCTTTGTTACCACAAATATACTTAAATCCCTTTTTTGGTTGACATTCGTATACATTGTCTTATGACTGATGATCGATTAAATATTTTCAAATGCTTTTCAATGTATTTTGTACGATGGCACCCTAAAATTATATACATTAATGTTTCTTATTTCTATATTTGATATTATCTAAACAAAGAAGTTGTAATGTAGAGTTGTGAATATGGTGAATGTATTTCAGTCTTAGAATTTAGACTTTCTATTCTTGAATTCAGGATCTAGTAAACAATAATAATATAACTTAGAAAACTTATACCTAACAATAACAATAACGATCGTAAATATTCATAATCTCAACATACATCTCTCATTTTATCCCGATTCTAGCATACCATCAGTAGAAAATATTATTACAATACTTTGATTAATTCCTGACATGTTTACATGTATGCACATGGTCAGCATTGGTGCCCTATAAACGTTATATAAACCATGGAAACCAATGCCTATTCAGTCTAGAGAGTAATTGTTTACATTTAGTTAACTTTGTTAGAACGACTACATATTGACAAGAATGTTTCTATGGCATTTTTTTAATTTACGGGGTTTATTTATAGTGAATTTTCCAATAATTTTTAATTCAATGCAGCCTTTAAACAGTTAATTTTTTTCAGATAACAGTAGATCTAACATCATTTAAAATTCTTTTTATCAATCATCTTCATTTGTGCGAATAACACACTGACTGATATATAACTCATTCTATGGTTTGTTCCTTTGGAAAAGGTATTCTGTTTATATTTTCCAAATGAATCTATTAGCTTACGTTCACATATACCCTTCAGTTTAGCTCTGTGTATAATGAAGCTTAACGTTTTTTCTATGAACTTGACAAATTCACTGACGAAATGACAACTGAAAGCATTCTGTTACTCGATAAACCGAAAGATATTTTTCGTATTGGAAAGTCGATAATGTGTTCAGTTATCTAAAACACATTCTCACATTCCCTTACACTGAATTACTCTGACAAAGTGAATTTCCAGTTTTCAGAAACTGAACATAATATAATCCAGAAAAAAAAGCATTATACTACTTAGTAGTTAATATTTATGGAAAGTTGTTAAAATTTAGCTAATTTGTGAGAATACTAAACAAATTCTATATAATAAAATGTAAAATCTCCAGTCACTGTAAAAATCAAAACGAATAATACCTAATACGATTGACATTCAACAACTTCATTACTTATCATTTATGATTATTTCAATTAAATGATCGAAGTCATGGAATAAGAGAAATCAATTACATCTAACTTCAGATACATTTAATTTTAATGACATATTAGTATTTTATCCATAGAACATTTCATTTTTACTTTAATATATATATATGGTAACCGGAGGTTAGTTTCCATTTTTGAATTCGCAATAATAATAATAATATTGCGAATGATGAATGAAGTAAATCAAGGTTTTTAATATTAAATATTTGTTTATTTTTATGTTTGTACATTGTATATGGATAAGAGTGAAATAAAATCGACAACAAGGTCATTCTCGTGGCAGTAGTTTTGATACTTTTCACAGTTGATTATTTATTATAGTTTGAATAATATTTAAGCTTTATCAAACGGAGCGGTAATTGTATTGTTCAATGTTTTTAGATACATAATTCACAAATCTAACATTTTGGTTGTCGGTAAACATTATTGAAAGATTAGAATTTATTTTCATTGAAACTTACTGTAAGTGACACATTTTCATTCATTAAATATAATCGGTTCATGATTTCAATGAAAAATGACTATTTCAACAACCCTTTACTAGCAATTGTAATCTGATTATTTGAAGTAAATGTTAAACGTTCGTTGAGTAAGCTAAATTTTTTTTATTAGGTACGATCCTTCGAACGAGTTGTAACTTTCAGTCATTAATGTACCATCTTATCATGCACTATCAATTTTGTCAAGGATACAGTGCTATATACACACAAAATAATCTAATAATCAAAAATTTATCGGTCAACTAATGAAAATGAATTTAATGAATTATATATATATATATATATAACGTGAACAGATATTTATTCCATAACTTCTTCAAATGTAAGAATGTTGTTCTTACTTTTCCAACACTGGCCTCTATGTCTCCATCAGATCCTCATTCTTCATCGATCATGCTGATCAGACACGTGAAAGTTTACACCTCGTCCAGAGCTTATCGATCGAGAGTGATTAGTTCGGTATTCTTCATGCTATATTTTAGGATCTTGGATTTTCCCTTGTGTATGTTGAAGCCTATTGCTGCAGACAGAGGTTGTTGTCACACTGGTTGTCTTGACCTGTATTTGTTGTTGTGTGTGATATGGAGGGTTGAGGTCATTTGTGAAGTTCAAATCGTCCAGTTGCATGCAAGCTGTCTGTAGTATACCGTGTTTCCCGTCAGATGTGGACGTCTTTATAATCCAGTCAAACACTAGAAGAAGGTGAAGAGGAGGAGTAAGCAGCCTTGTCTGACTCCAATCCTCACTTGGAATGCATCAGACCTTGCAGTGTAATATTTGTATGTGCTGCTTCGATTTCCTGTCGACTCAATGGAGCCTACCTACTCAATAGTTCCTCGAACTATCGCAGCCATCTGTTCCTCTGTTCTTGAATGTCGGTGATTGGCTGCATTGTCTGAATTTGACTAGTCTCTCTGGCTTGCTATATTTTCGTGGTAGTTTCTTCATCGTGTCATATAGTTGTCTCATATTTTCTTCTCTTACAACTTATTCTGCTACCGTTGCCAAGTCT